AACATTGTTTCCCGTACAATTGCAAATGTGTTGACATCAACAATTAAGAGATCGACAATTTTTTGTTTTCTCTTCAGATATTTGAATGGACCATTACAATTTATTTGAGTAACATAAAATAATGATTATGTTAAATGTTGTGACTGACCCTCATACTACGTTAAATGTCAATAACGCAGTAATTTTTATTTTGTAATTCAGTGATGCAGGTTTTGAAATCTAGCATAACAATCATTACCACTTGTCTATCAGATGTAAATGTTTTAAAAGTAGTAAGTCATTCAATCAGTCAGCCAGTAAGTGAACAATTTATGTAGTAAAGGTGACACTAAATTATAGCAAAAAGGTAATAAATAGGTGAACGATACTGCTGCTGTTGGATTATGGAATGAAGGATATTACTTCATAGGTTTCCGTAAGAAGTACTAATTTTTATCCTAGTGACAAATGTGGCTGGTAGTTCTTCAATGGTATTCCTGCAGAATATGGATGCCCTTACTATTTTAATATTTTTTGTAGGAATCTGATGCTGTGGCTGAATTAAGTGCACTTTTTCCAGACAAAAGTATAGACACTATCCGAGCAATCTTGGCAGACAGTGGAGGAGATAAAAGTGTGGCTGCATCAAGGCTTATCCAGTGGTCTGCTGGGACATGTAAGCTACCTATACAAGTTTATTACTTAAATGTGAATAATGGTAGATCTCTGAACTTTACCTGTCTGTGATGTTATTACAACAAAGCAGAGGTCCTTGGTATTGTGTAGTGGTAAGGTTGCGTGCATTTTTTTGCTCCAACATAATTATTTTTCTGATTACCATGGAACCCTTCATTGGAGACAGTTATACTTATCTGTTCTTTCATTTGGTTTTGAAATTGTTATTTCATTTCATTTGAAATAAGAGCCCTTCATTCGATTTAGAGGTGCATACTTATAACATGACCTAAGCTTTACAGAGTCTCATAACAGATAATTTACTGAACTCCCCTTTTTTGCAATTTCTTCTGCAAGGTGCCCTAATGAACAGTGGGGACTCAGGTAATGAATACTGTACAGAAGAAGACAGTGACCTCATGCAATCACCATTTGAAGCACATGTATCCTCAAGTACTGTCAGTACCTGTACTGACCCTGTTGCACAGTACAAACAAGAAACTCTGGATGAAAATGGCCCACCACTGAGAATCTATGTAAATCGGATGACGGAGGAGTTCACTGCAGATGTTTTATCCATTTATAAGAAAGCCAACCCATGTTTTCGCTCAAACCTTCGAGTGCAATTTGAAAATGAAAGAGCAGTTGGCGAGGGACCTGTCAGAGAGTTCTTTAGCATATTAATGGGATTTGTTCAAAATGGTCTTTACGTGGATGATCCTGGGCGGCTGACTATGTTATTTGAGGGCCAGACTGACCACAAAATTCCAGTCCCAAATGCGTTACTGTGTAATTCTGGACTGTACACTAGTGTTGGACGGATGATTGCACATTCTTTCTTGCATGGAGGACCACCACTTTATGGACTTTCCCCAGCAGTGCTTGAATTTTGGACTCGTGAAAGCATCAGTGAAGCTGTTACCATGGAGGACATCCCAGATTATGACCTTCGACAAGCCTTGAAGCAGGTACTCGCATTGATGATCTTGTTTTGTACAGACATTACTTACGTATTTCTGTGTAATGTTTCAGCAACATGTTAGTGTTACTAACAATATTTATTCTGGTTAATTTTTGTTTGATATGGCACTTGTACTGTCCTGTTTATATTTGAAAAAAGGCACAAGTGTGTTCCAAATAGGTGTATACATCTATAATGACACTATAAGTTTATAATTTGTCGTAAGAAGCATTTCATTGTTCAGTCACAACACCATAGCAATTTAACGGTTTTGCAGTTATCAAGTCTTGATAAGGATGAAGAACCCTCAGATGCACTTAAAGAATTCCTCTTGCCTTATCGTGATGAAGCGTCAGTACTTCAAGTGCCGCTAAGGGGAGAGAAACGGCACTTGGTTCTCCAGCAGATAATGCTGCACAATGTGATCGAAAAGCGCCACCGTGAACTGAAAGATCTTGCTGCAGGAATGAATGAGCTTTCCCTTGTCAATTACCTAAAGGCACACAAGGAAATGGCCGCAGCCGTGTTTCCCAGGGAATGCGAGTCAGTAATTGACAAAGAAGAACTCAAGGGTAGGATTTCCATCGAGGATGAAAACAACCCCCAAGGGCAAGTTATCATGGGATTCTTGCATCGCTTCATCGATGAAGTTAGCAGAGAAGCAGAAGGTAAGTGATTACCTCAGCTATGTCTACTATACGTTTTCTATTCTTCTTCCAGTACCTCTTCTTTCCCCAGTGAATTTAAGCCATTTATCCTTGAGCATTTCATTCCTCAAACACTGTATGGGGGATAGATAATTCCACTAGCAGGATTTTCATTGCTCGATGTAATTTCAGTTGTAGGGTAACAGTGATTAGCCACCTCGTGTCTTTACTGCTAAAG